GAAGCGGATGGTGTATTAAAAATATTTTTTTAATTAATTCTCTGAAATTTCGTGGCGGAGAATGTGCTAACTTGCCAAAAATTGTATTTTAATTCAAAATCACCATTATTGGTGGTCGGAGGATTCGCTAAAGAAGGTAAAAAAAACGGTATCGCCTGAGATAACATTGAGATTGACTTATACATTAATCTATTAAATACGGTAAGTATTATATTTTCTCCTAAGGAATATCAAATAACCATCCATAATATAAATAATAAAAAAAATGTATACTGAAGTTTTTTTATACCTAAATAATGTATGAGAATAATATAATAAAGCGGGTTAGAAATGTCAACCCTCTAAAATCATATTGATCCCCAATACACTATAATTATGAACTATGCGTGATGTATGATGAGCGTAAAGGACCCTAAAGCTCAATATTTGCATACCCAACTTAATTTATAATATCAATTATGTTAATTTGCAACTGGCCCCAATGGTTGAGAGAAAAAGCTATAGACCTAAATTCCAAGGTACCTAACACTTCTTACTTCCATTTATAATCGTTTTAATTTCCTTGTCCTTTCTTGTATAGAGGTTTGGCTTCCTTCTCGTCCCTTCCATTTTGGTCTATGAAGATATTTATGTTTTTGTTTCTGTAATGATGATAAAATATAGGCCTATGAATATAATTATTTTGCCAACACATTCCTAAAACCGTATCAACTCATTGTATCCTTTTGTTTTCTTTTTTTAATTCTAGGCCAACTGATGTACGAGTACAATGTACATTCAGCAACATATGTCAAGTCTGAGATCCGCACCCTCAGCACCATGCTGCCCTCTAGTATCGATGCTGCGCTGACGAGCAGTATAGAACAATTGACTACGTATCTCTTTAAATGGGACAGGGTATTCGTGTATGACGAACTTCATAAAACGATTTCCAATCCTAAACACATCACTGACATCTTTCCCGGCATTCCAGACCACATCAGCGGCGCTTTCAATGGAAATGACGGTAAAATATAATAATATATAGCTTAATAATATATAGCTTAATAATATATGTCTTAATAATTATATGAATTGTTCATAGCATTCTATTAATGAGTACTGTAAAAGTTCATTCTTGGGATTATATTATCATGTGAGACCATGGCATTTTTTTTTCTAGTGTATAACAATTTAACACATTGCATATCCTAATATGCTAATAATATGCATCATAAGCAGAAAATAATATATTTAAGTAATTAACCGTATTACCTGTCTATTAAAGAGAAGAGAACAACAGCTGCAAGATTAACCTACTGGTACATATCACCAAACTATCTACTTTGTCCAGAAGTATACACTTTAGTTATAGTTGATAATATATAATTATGTATTTCGCTAAAAAAATGTTGTAGGTCTCAACCAACCAATCAATCAATCAATCTATCAGTGAAACATCCACCAAATTAATCAATCAACCAGTCAACCAACCAATCAGTCAATCAAATAAACATTAATTTCTTCGAAATCAAACAATCATACAGTAAAATCAAGATGGTATGTCACAAAGAACTTAAGGCTAATATTCCAAATATTTCTATTTTATGGGCTTTTAAATGTTCATCGAAATCTTCTTTCCACTTATTTAAAATTACATTCATTCTACTAACAGGAGTAGCTTCATTGCAACTGTCTCTTATACACATCTAGATGTGTATAAGAGACAGATATATATGTATCGGAATTTGAGAATTTCAGCGCATAACGTAGGGCATAAACAAGAAAAAATGAATTATTGGGATTTCTGTATTCCGCCCTCAACTGTCAAAACCAGCGATGTACCGTATTGTTTTACCCATTTGCCTCCATGCTTTACCAGTGAACAATTATAATAGAGAATGAACTATTACAGAGACGCTTATACACTTATATTTGGTTTATATTTCGTTCAGTTGTTTTTTTATTTGTTTTACTTGCGCTTTTATTTGTATATCTTATTATTTTTGGTTGTTGGTTAGTTGTTTCTATGTTTCACTCTTATGTTCATGTCAGTTGCGCTGTGTTACCTGTATTTTATTGAACGAACCTTCAAAATTATGAAGTGTGCCACTGTTTGAAAAAAGTGTAGTTCCGAATAAAGTAATTACATATATTTTGCTAAATTTTCTCTTTGTAATTCATTGCAGGCTTTTATTACTTTGTGAAAGAACACTACGTCTACAAGTACAGCGTCCAGGATAAAAGAATTGAAGACAACTATCCGCAATCATTTAGCAAAACATTCATTGGTTGTAAACCTTAAAAACAAGGCAGCATCTTACAATTCGAAAAAAAAAATGGGCCTGGACCTATTATAACGTTTGGATGGTGTAGGCAATAGGGAGGTTTCGCAAGCTTAGGAAAACGTTAACGAATACGGTTACGTCATTATTGTTTTAGTCAACGTAGGCTGTTCATGACTTTCAAATGAATCAACGTTTATATTCAGCTCGTATATGTATTGTAAAAATGTTTTCGGCACGAATGACGATAATGAATATGACGTATTTGTATTCGTTATCGTTTCGTAATGTTGAATATTCAAATTAGTTCTGGTAAAATGTTGAAGTGTTTTGAAACTATTCTCTAAATTCACGGATGTGTATTTACATGATGTAAATTAAGATTCACGACTAATATTCTAATTTATATTTCCTTTAAGCTCCTCCTGGGATATTGTCGCAAGATCCCACGATTACGCGACGACGATGGTAGGACACTCAAAGGTTTATTAAGAAAGCCTGGAATATAACAATAATTCTCTTTTTTTTAAATAATAACTCCTCATCTAGAACATCTTTTGTTTTGTTTTAATATATAGACCGGAACGTTATCGGCTACAGATTTATAGACCTAAGTGAATAAAGTCTTGAGAACAAGTATTTTCAATTTAATGTAATGCATCTGACGTATTTCAATGTTCCTAAAGTACAGTTTTAAAACGATGTGCTTTTGTACTTTATGTCCATTCTTGTGAAATAAATGTAATTGTCTCATCTGATGTTTCGGTTCACTTATTTGCCTGGAACACGTATTATTCAATTGAACTTTATTAAAAATCAACTGGCAGCACAGAGGTGAATTACATGAGCATAACGTGGGAAAAAAAAAATATATATATATATATATATATATATATATATATTATATATATACTTATATATAGGCATATATATATAATTAATAATAATATTAAACAATAATATAAAAATTTATAAAGCGTCAATTAAATGACCGAGGTGCATTATCAAAGGGGCTTTGCACGTTAATGACAGAAAAGGTGAGTTTTGAGTAATTAAATGATGTAACAGTTTTTAATGTGTGCAGGGAGTGTATTATAAAGTGTAGGTGCGGCAAAGAAAAACGATTATGGCCAAGTTTTAAGGATGTGCGGGGAACGGAGAACAAAAAATTATCAGATGATCTTAGGGTGCGTCCAGGAACATAAATATCGATAAGCTGATAGATAGGTTGCTTAAATGGAAGTGCTTTAAAAGTAAGTAGCAAGATCTTGAACTTAATGTGGGAATCAATAGGAAGCCAATTGAGTTCTCGGAGAACAGTGGTGATGTTTGTGAGATCGAGGTTTTGTGAACGTTATAATTCAAGCAGCGGAGTTTTGAAGCCTCTGGAGTCTGTAAATTCGAGATTTAGGAAGTGCGTAAAAAAGAGAATTGCACTAATCAAGACGGGATGAGACAAAAGCATGAATAATGGAAGAAGCAGTGCGTCGAGAAAGAAAGCGTCGAATGAGTGTAACATTACGAAGGTAAAAGTTGACCGATTTAGTTATATAGTTGATATGGTTGTGCATGTTAAGATATTCATCCAGTTTGACTCCGAGGTTAGAAATGTGGTGAGAGGGATAAATTAATAATGAACCAAAGGTGAGAGGAAGAGGAGTAATTTTACTACGGATGTAGTGCAGAAAATAATGAACTCAGATTTGTTTTCGTTAAGTTTTAGAAGATTGTTTGAGATCTAAAATTGGATATCTTTAAGACAAGTTTAAAAACTTTGAACAGCGAAGTAAAAGTTTGATGGATGAAATGAAATGTAAAGTTGAATATCGTCAGCGTAGAAATGATAGAAGAGATGTTATGTTTTTTTAATAATTTGGGCCAGTGGTGCAATGTAAAGAGAAAAAAGAATGTAACCAAGAATGGACATTTAATGACTTTAGAAGTGGACCTTACACCGCTGATTTTAATGAATTGAGAGCGGTTATTGAGGTATGAAATGAACGAGTTTAAAGCAAGATTGGAAATGCCAAAGCAAAAATGAAGACGATCAATAAGTATTTGGTGATCAACGGTGTCAAAAGCATACCAATAAGTCAAGCAACTGCTTGTTTTTGATCCATGGCAACTATGATGTAATTGAGTATTCTAACGAGGGCAGTCTCAGTGCAATGGTTCACTTTATAGGCAGATTGAAAGGGGTCCAAGAGATCACAATTAACAATTTAGGACATTAACTGTGAAGACACTACGCTCTCAATGAGTTTGGCTTAAAAAGGTAAGTTAGAAATAGGTATGAAATTTGGGAGTTTATTATGGTCAAGTGATGGATATTTTATAATCGGAGTAACAACTGCCGTAGGGAAAACACCAAAGATCGATTGATAAGTGCAGTAAGAATAGTAAGAAAAGTCTCGTTACATGACTTTAAAAGTGTCGTTGGAATAGGATCAGGAGAACAGGAAGAAGAAGATGCGATAAGCTTCTTAACACACGCCGGATCCAAAAGATTAAATGAGCAAAAGGTGTAAGTACAAAAAGTGGAGGTAGTGTTAGCATGAGTTATGCAGGTTAGTACGAATAGCCACAATCTTAACGTGAAAGAAAGTGGAAATAGTTCAGTAAGTCGAGAAATAGTGGAATGCAATGGAAGAGCTTGGTTAGTGGTACCTTAAAATAATTTTTCAACAACATTAAATAACTTTCGTTTGTTCCCTTTACAATCTTCAACCTTGCAAGAGATAAATTTGGATTTAACAATACGTAGTTTCTTATTAAGGAGTTTTGTTGAGTAACAAATATATGTTTATCAACAATACACATCGTTTTACGCCAACGACGTTCCAGTTTACGTAAATAACTTTTACAGGCTCTATGTTTATA